TGGAGGTGTTGCGTCTAAGGGTGCTGCGTCTGGGGGTGCTGAGCCTGCGCGTGAGGTGCTGTGGAGTGCGGAGCCTGCGGGGGCTGAGCCTGCGGTTGCGGAGTCTGGGGGTGCTGAGCTAGAGGGTGCCGGGTCAGGGGGTGCTCAGTCTGCTGGCGTTCCGCTGGGTCTCGTTTCACGACGCGGGCTTGTCTCACCATAGCAGGCACGAGAGTGGCTTGCGTCACGTGCCCGCCTGAGGAGTCGCGCTGCTAAAGCTGCTTATCATGGAGGCACTGGGAGTGCTGGTGTCTCGGGTCCTAAGGGTGCTCGTAGTGGAGGTAATGGAGTTGCTGGGACTGGTACTGCTCCTAGAGCTGGAGGTGTCGGCTCTGGGGGTGCTGCAGCTGGAGGTACTTGGGCTGGAGGCCCTGAAGCTAGTGCTGTCGACCCTGGCATTGGAGACCCTGGAGCTGGAGGTGCCGGTTCTGGGGGTGTTGCTGCTGGAGGCCTTGGAGCTGGTACTATTGAATCTGGAGTTGGGGACCCTGGGGCTAGAGGTGCCGGTTCTGGGGGTGCGGCTAATAGTGGCGCTGGAGCTGGAGGTTCTGGAGCTGCTGGAGGAGCTAGAGCTGGAAGTGCTGCTGCTGGAGTCACAGGAGCTGGAGGTGCTGCTGTTGGAGGCGCTGGAGCTGGAGGTTCTGGAGCTCCTGAAGCGCTGGAGCTGGAGGTGCTGCTGCTGGAGTCACTGGAGGTGGAGGTGCTACTGCTAGAGGCCCTGGGGCTGAAGGTTCTAGCGGTGCTGGAGGCATTGGAGCTACTGGTACTGGTGGCACTACCGCCGCGACTTTTTTTCGCTCCGCCGTCACCGTCGTCTCTGCCACCACCTACTCCGTGCTTCGCCAGGTTCTTGGCCTCCCGTCTTCTACTAGCCTCTCGTTACAGCCCGATGCACCATTGCATGCTCCTTCTCCTTACAGTGAGCTGACAGACTTGCTTACATAGCATCGTGAGCCTGCGTCTCGTCCTACCTCACCTGTTCGTGCGCGTCGCACTGGTAGTCGTGTTCCTCGTGAGCGTCTGCCTCCTGACACTGGCACGCACGCTATGGCACTTCGTCCTTCCTCTGTTATACAGCGTGTTCCCCTACCGTCTCCTCCTACGTCTTCTGTGCCTGACGTTCAGGACCCTGATTCTGACCTGGTTCGTGCTGCTCACCTTACTGTCACGCGTCTGTTAGCCACTGTTGTCACTGGCCTGTCGTTTGAGTCTGCTGTTGCGTCTGTCTTAGTCTCTGAGCTTGTTGACTTTGCTGCTGCCTTTCGTCTCGACTTCGTTGCTAGTCTTGTTTCTGAGTCTGAGTCTGTCTGTCCTCCGGCTGACGGGGGAGAGTGTGCTCTTGGCACGGACGTCCTTGAGGAGAGGCAGGAGGACTTTGAGTGTCTTGCAGCCGCTTCGCCTCATCTCGTGGCCATGCTGCTTGCCCCTGAGAGAGACCCAGATTCTCCAAACATCCCGACCCCGCGCTCTTACGCTCAGGTGATCGCGGGTGAGTACTCCTCTCAGTGGCAGACAGCCATGGACGCGGAGATGGCATCCTAGAAATTCAGTGGCACTTACGTCGATGCAGTTCCCCCTCCTGGGGCGAACGTAGTCAATGGCATGTGGATTTTCACCGTGAAGCGGCCGCCGGGTTCTCCGCGTATCTTCAAGGCTCGTTACGTTGCACGAGCCTTTAGTCAGCGACAGGGAGTTGACTTCTTCCAAACCTTCTCCCCCACCCCGAAGATGACCGCTCTTCGGGTTCTGCTGCACGTTTCCGCTCAGCATGACTACGAGCTTCACTCCTTGGACTTCAGCGTAGCGTTCTTACAGGGAAGTCTGCACGAGGAGATCTCGCTGCGCCGCCCACCTGACTTCACTGGGTCGTTCCCTCCTGGTACCCAGTGGAGCCTCCGCCAGCCAGTCTACAATCTCCGTCAGGTGCCTCGTAAGTGGGACGACACACTGAGGACGACACTTGCGGCTCTTGGGTTTGCACCTTCCACTGCTGACCCGTCGTTGTTTCTGTGCACCGACAATTCCTTGCCGACGACATCTTCGTGTACGTCGACGACTTGGTCTTTGCCACTACTGACACTGAGGTTCTCGCCCTTGTGAAGTCGGAGCTGTAGAAGAGACACGCGTGCACAGACCTGGGTGAACTACGCAGCTACCTTGGCCTGCAAATCACCTGGGACAGAGCACAGCGCACCATCACACTGACTCAGTCACACATGGTGCAGCAGGTCCTTCAGCGCTTCGGCTTTACTTGGTCCTCGCCACAGTCCACTCCTCTGGCTACCGGTCACTCGCTCTTAGCTCCAACTTCGGACGAGTCTGTAAAGCCGAGTGGCCCGTATCCAGAGCTAGTAGGCTGCCTCCTATATCTGATGACCTGCACTTGTCTTGACCTCGCGTCCTCTCTTGGCCTTCTAGCACACTACGTGGCTCCAGGTAGGCACCAAAAGGTGCACTAGGATGCTGCAAAGAGGGTACTGCGTTACTTGTGCAGTACATCGGGCATGGGGCTCGTGCTTGGAGGGCGGAGCTAAGTTGTCCTCATTGGAAACTCATACGCTTCTTGGGTTGATGACCTAGCTACGCAGCGGTCGTCACAGGGTTACACGTTCAGCCTTGGCTCTGGCTGTATTTCGTGGCAGTCTACACGCTCGTCTTCTGTTCTCAGCTCCAGTTGTGAGGCTAGGATCTACGCCACAGCCATGGCTGCACAGGAGCTACACTGGCTCACCTACATGCTGAACGACTTGGGAGATTGGCCTTATTCTCCTCCATTTCTGTACGTCGACAACAAGGCTGCCATTCCCTTGTGTCTGGACCACAGACTGGAGCACAGAACGTAGCACATCGCTCTGTGTTACTTCCTTGCTCGAGAGTTGCAGCAGCGTGGTCAGCTTTGTGTCGCTCACGTGCTCACCCGGGCCAACACGGCTGATGTGTTCACCAAGGCCCTTCCGACTGGTGATCATCAACGCTTTTGCACTGCTCTAGGCTTGGTGCCTACGTTTCCTCACTTGTTGTAGACTCTGGTTGTACTGTGACCTATATATATAGTTATATACCTGCATGTTTAATCTAACTAGGTAGTGATCACTGTACTGTTGTTGTTGTTGCATATATATCTCTGCATGTGAGTTGGCCTTGTGGCCCCTTTGCTTGTCCTCGGAGTGTGTGGTGACGTTGTGATCCACCCTGAGCTTGCTTTGGTTTTTCTTGATTGGTCTTGTGACCCTTTGTTCTCCCCCACTTTGCCTATGGGGGTGTGTCAAACCATATTTGTGCTAGTTGTGTGTAGGCTATAGTGGGGTAGCCCATGTGGGGTACAACCCAATATTAGGGTTAGTACTTCTACCCATAATTCATTCAATGTAATCATTTCCTGCTTGTTAATTCTTAACAAACCCAGCATGGCTAACTGCCTTTGGGACCTTGCCATCACCTCCCAACCCAGCATGACTAACTGCGTTTGGGACCTTGTCATCACCTCCCAACCCAGCATGGCTGCCTTTGGGAATTTTCTTTTCCCCCCAAATGCTGACATCTTTCCTTCCCTCCCCTTGGAAATGAGGAGAAGCAGCCTTCGGAGGGGAAGGGAAAGAAAGTGGCAAGGAGGTGGGGGTGTGGGGGGGAGTTTTGTTTGATTATGCTCACACCGTTAGAGGGATAAGAAGGGAACAACAGGGAATGGAAGCGCAGGGAAGCCAAGGAGAGGGATGGGCAGGTGAGAGAAAGGCATGGGGAGTGGAGGCAAGATGACTACGAGATCAAAGGCGCAACGAGGCCCAGCACGACGAGGGGAGTGGAGGTGCGCCGAGGGGAGTGGAGTGGAGGCGAGAAGAGGAGAGGGGCTGTGAGACGAGAGGATGCTCGACGAGGGGAGGGGAAACGCAACAACGAGTGGCGCGATGAGGGTGTTGGCATGCCGACAGAGGTCAGGTTCTAAGCGACGAAAGGAGGGGTGGCACCCTGAGGGGTGGTAAGACGATGGGAGAGGAGGCGCGACAAGGGGAGGCGCCTTGAGGGAAGGGGAAGCTTGATGAGGGGACGTGAGGCGCGAGTGATTGAGACAGTCATACTGTATGTGTATGGGCAGGCGTGGTAAGGTGGCTTCAGTCACCTTTGCGACCACAGTGACTAGCTTGAGCATATGCATGTAGATTTATCTAAACTCTTTGTATGGAGTAGTTTAATAACTAGCTACCTTCTCGCCTTTTGAACTATCAAGTATATAATTGCTCAGATTATTGTCTGAACTCAATACTGGGTTGGGCTTTCATATTTAGTGAGACGCCCCATAGCCCAGGTGATATTTACTCGTCCACGTGAGTTGTCATGTGAGGTATGAGGATTTCGCCAACTTCTGTTTGAGTTCGCACATGCGAATTGGTTTCGCACAAACTCAAATTTCCCAACACGTACACACAACCTTTGAACCTCCTCATCCTTCGACGCGCTTCGGTAATTTTTAACCTTGCGCACGAACATTGCCCTAGCGAAGTACAGGCAGGCCCCACCTTCACCTGACGCAATTCCGGTTCCGCCCCTCTCAAGTCTGCTGCGGCCAGTTCGTGCCACATTGAATTCAATGTCACACGAACATCGGAATAGCGCGCCACTAGCACAACACCACACTGCCAGCACCCCCACCTTCGTCCCCCTAGACCCAGATTCCGCCTTCTCCTTCCACCCACCAGCTCCAATATACACCTATTTCTAAGTGTCTTCACTCCACCAGCGTTGCCAGCGTGGCCGCTTTCGCTTGCCCTACAACAAGCTGCCCACCTTGCGCACGCGCTTTGTCTCGCGAAGACGCCCCGGCGAGCAACAGACGATATAAAATAACTTCATTTCCAAGGATCGATGTATACTTTGCCATCGTTCCTTCGCCATCCGAGTCCTTACACAACTACAATCGTCACCACGCGATTCATACCCGCTGCATACATTGCATAGTTGACCCCATGGCTCCTCTAGTCTCTGCAAAAGGTGTGTGGATCGCTCAATACTCTCTCTACCAATCTTTCGTATCGACTCAAAAGTCCTCTCATTCTCAATGTTCGTGCATCTCAATCTCGTCAGTCGTTGCTGTCGTCATTAAAGCTCTCGCTCGAATCCATTCTGAATTCTTCGTTTCTCGCGCTGTCATCAGCAATGCCCTCGCTCCATCACCAGCGCTTCTGAATCCGAGTTGCTCTGATCTGTTACCGGACATGCTCTTACTCCCACTCCTTCTGCGGTTCGCATTGCGGCCTTCACCGCCCGCACTCATCGCTGTGCGCCCCTCCGCGCCCCTATCCCCTTACAGGAGCGCTCGTCCTCGGGCTGCTCTTCGCGTCCGCGCTCCTCACTCTCGCCGCCCGACCGAAATGTGAGTGCGCCGCTCAACAACCTTCCTCGTCGTTGCGCCCTCGTCCCACTCTGTTTCCGCCGTCGTCGCGCTCTCCTCTCGCCCTCGACCAGCAATCCTCTCGCGCTGGCATAGCCTGCACTCGCCACCTGCCGCCCGTTGTACTGATCGATGCGTTTGTTCCCACCTCGTCGCATGTTGTCACCCGTTGTCGCAGGCGTGCTGTACTCGAATTGGGACGTGACGGATAAACTGCAGACGCAAGCGAAGAAGAGCGGCAAGTCTACCAAGTCGCTGCCCACTGGCAGACTCACCATCAAGGAATATAAGTACGGCTTTCTGCTACGCCATTTCGCCACGCTTTTCCGCTGTGTCATTTGGCTGTGCCACTCCGCTGCGCCGTTCCGCTGTGCCATTTCACCACGCCCGCCCTCATTACCCGCTCGTTTCTCCCCCTCGAACTCACACATCTGTCCGCGCGTTTCTCGATCGCAGGGGCAGCGACGACGAGTCGTTCGACCTGCAGGTGACTGCCGAGGTCACGGAGCTCCCAGAGCCGCCGGTGGGGATTGTGATCGGAAAGGGCAAGTTCGGCAGCAACACGGGAGTCTCGTGGTACATCAACAAGCCGTGGAGCGGCGGCGGCGGCTCATACAAGCTCGACTTCAAGCTGACGGCCATTGAGAAGATCAAGCCACGTGGCGGCAGCGGCACGGTTCTGGAGGTGCTCCAGGCTGTGGATAAGGGTGTCGTGTCGGATTACTACACCGCTGTTCTCACCAAGTCGACCAGGAAATCCGGTGGCCTCGTTGGTGGCGGGTTCGTCAAGGGCTTCCCCAATATTCTGCCCATGTTCAGCTGCTAAATCCAGCAGTTGGGCCTGCTGTTGCTGTGGGGCCCTTCAATACAGCCATGCAGCCCCTAAATTCTCGTCAATAAAAGATGGGAGAACCCCATCTCATAATTGGCTTAGCAGCTGCTTGTTGGCGTTAGACTTGGTTTGTACTTTTAGAAGTTATTTTTATGAGATGTCAGTTTGTACATTCATATAACACTAACGCACTACGGTGTAGTACACAACCACCGTAATTCCCAGCACAACCGCCAAAATTGTCCGCTGCTGCGATCATCAGACGTCGGTCCGTCAACATGTGTTTTCCCACGCTCACATCTCACATCACCACCTAGCCTACCCCCAATCTCCACTCCACATCAAACGAACCTACCTCTCCCCCGCTGCCCCTTCAAACGAACTGCCCCTGCGCGGAAAACCCGGCACAGAGTTCTAGGGCCCACGGACGGACCCAAAACATCCACCCTGCACTTGAATCCTGTCCCCCCAACTCGACAGACAGGCGGAGCAGGCACGGTTTTCGCACCATTTGACACGGTGCAGTTCGGTGCGCTTTTCCCTTACGCCACTTGTGCTTTCAAATGTACTCAACAAACACACATCCATCGAAAGGTACCAACTAAATCTGACTGTTTTCCCTAGCACTCCGCAGACTTGTTTTTAAGCTTAGCTAGTAGCTCTCGAGTCTAGCGTTCCTTGCGGGCTTGTCGGCAGAGTGGGAGCGGCGTGGCGAGCGAGTCCTCGCGCGGGGCTATGGCGAGCGTCAATCCCATATCCCTCGCAGGACCCTCGCCGCAGGACGTTCAACGGACGAAGGAGCTTGAGAAGGTGATGCCGCGCGAGATGCGGTGGACGCGCGAGACGAGATAGCGAGATGCGCTAGATGTTACAGATGCGTGAGATGCAGTAGTCGCGCAAGACGCGCGAGATGCGCGAATCTGCGCTTCCAACTTGTAGGATCTATGCTGCCGTGTCTGCCGTCCACGCAGTATCGATTATCAGTTGAGGCTTCTAGTATTGAGGAGGTATCAGTACTATTTGAGGCTTCTTGTGTGAGCGAGGCACTGACGCGTTGATGCCGTGCTGCTGGGCTTTGACTGGGACATGTGCAGTTTCGACTCAAATTACACCTTGATGACATGCTGTGCGATTGGGCTTTAACTGGGGCATGTGCAGTTTCTGGTGGATGCGGGGTTGTACGAGAGCCAAGACGAGGCCATCTTGCGGGAGGAGGTTCTCGGTCGCCTCGACGAGGTTAGTCTGTCGGTCGCCTCGACGAGGTTAGTCCGCCTCGAAAGAAACGCACCGCCACTTGCGTTTCGCCAAGACGCACCGCAAGCGATTGTCTGTCTGTCTCTGGTATTCGCGATTTGATGCGCATGTGCAACTCCATCTCGTGTTGTTTGCATGTCGGTCGCGCGGATGGCGAAGGCGTGCGTGCGGAGCGTGGTTGGGGAGTGTGCGTGCCTGTTTCTCTTTCTGACTAGCCTGCGTACATCTGTTTTCCCCTGTGCTTGCATGCGTGTGTGTGTGCGTGCGCGTGTGCGTGTGCGTGTGTTTGTCCGTTTCTTCCCACGTCGCATCGCAGATAGTGAAGGTGTGGGTGAAGAGCGTGAGTCGTCGCAAGGGCTTTAACGATCAGTTCGTAGCGGACGCCAACGCCAAGATATTCACCTTCGGCTCCTACCGCCTCGGGGTGAGCACCTTCGCCGCGCGCTTCTGCTCCGCGCGCTTACTTTCCGCGCTTCGATCTTCACCGGTCAGGTGCTTACCGCCTCGGGGTGAGCGGTGGCGCTACTACCGCCTGGGGATGAGCACCCTGTCGTGCACTCTTCTGCCCCGCGCTCTGACGTTCCGCGCTTTGTTCCATCCGTTCTAATTGCCGTCTGCTAATTGCCGTCCTTGCCGTCCCGCGTGTATCCACCAGGTGCACGGCCCAGGCGCCGATATCGACACGCTGTGTGTGGGCCCGCGTCACGCCACCAGGGAGGTACGCCCTCCCGCTGTTGCCACTCCATTTTCACCCACAACGGCTCTGGCTGCTCTTTCGTGCACAAGTATTGCCTCGCTGGCCGTTCCAGTGGTTCATCATGTCCGGAACATTAACCCTTTTTCCCGCTCGCTCCGGCTCGTTCCTCCCTCCTCGAGGTGCCCCAGTCCACCTACCCACGTGTCTGTCCTCCCCCCCCACTCCCTCCCTCCCTCTCTCCCCACCCCCCCCGCCACGTTTTCCCCCACAGGAGGATTTCTTCGGCGCGCTACACGACATGCTCGCGCAGCTGCCGGAGGTTCTCCGGTCCCCCCAACCCACGCGCCTTTCCCCCGACGGCCCGCTCTCTCTCTCCCCCTCACTCCCCGGGTCCCCCCACCGCAGGAGGACTTCTTCGGCGCGCTACACGACATGCTGGCGCAGCTGGCGGAGGTGACGGAGCTACACTCCGTACCCGATGCACCCAGTTCCACCCACGCGTCTTCCCCTCCACTTTCCGCTTCTCTCTCCCCCTTCCCCCCCTGCCTGCTCTTCCGCAGGAGGACTTCTTCGGCGAGCTGCGCGACGTGCTGGCGCAGCTGGCGGAGGTGGGCCATTCCCCCCTGCACCACTCCCACCGCCTCCCGCCCTCTCCCTCTCGGGTGTTTCCCCTCCCCCCCCCCCCCGCAGGAGGATTTTTTCGGCGAGTTGCACGACATGCTGGCGCAGCTGTCCGAGGTGACGGAGCTGCACTCGGTGCCCGATGCGCACGTGCCCGTGATGAAGTTCAAGTTCCGCGGCATCTCCATCGACCTGCTCTACGCGCAGCTCGCGCACACCGTCGTCCCCGAGGTGCGTGGCTTGCCATTCCCGAGGTGCGTGGCTTGCCATTCCCGAGGTGCGTGGATTAAGAAGGTCCGAGGTCCGTGTTTTTGCTGCGCGCCCTTACGCGCCGCGCCTCCCGCCATCGTCTCCAGGCATGGCGTGGCGTGGCGGGAGGTGCAACTGTCAGGGGAGGCGATTCACGTCACTCGAGTTGCTGGTTGACTCGCATCGCATGTGTTTGCTGGGTTGTGTGCGTGGCAGGACCTGGACCTCTCAGAGGAGGCGATACTGCAGAACGTGGGTGCGTGGACGCAGCGGTCGCTCAATGGCTGTCTGATGCTTGGCTCCATACTCACTGCATGTTCTCTCCACTGCACTGTTCCGTTGTGCGTGGGGTGTTTCTTGCGGGTTGTGCGTGGCAGGACCTGGATCTATCAGAGGAGGCGATACTGCAGAACGTGGACGAGTGGACGCAGCGGTCGCTCAACGGGTGCCGCGTGACGGACCAGATCCTCAAGCTCGTGCCCAACATTGAGGTACGCCTTACGTAAAGATCCAGATCCTCAAGCTCGTGCCCAACGTTGAGGTACGCGGAGCGGAGGGGAGGGGAGGGGAGGTGCGGGGCAAGGAGGGGAGGCGAGGGGCGGGGAGGGGAGGTGAGGGACGGGGAAGGGCGGGAAAGGGCGGGAACGTTATGGCAAATGTTGAGGCATGACAAATTTTGAGGTATGGCAAATGTTGAGGTATGGCAAATGTTGAGGTATGGCAAATGTTGAGGTATGGGCAAATGTTGAGGTATGGCAGATGTTGAGGTATGGGCAAATGTTGAGGTATGGCAGATGTTGAGGTATGGCAGTGTTGGGTATGGCCGGCCAAAGATCCAGGTACGACTTGTGTTGAGCTCTGTGTGCAGTCCTAAGCTCAATTGTGTGCAGAAGTACTAAGCTCAATTGTGTGCTGCGCTGCTTGCTGTGTATGCTGCGTTGTGTGCTCTAAACTTTGTCTCGTGTTTCCCTTGTGCGCCATGTGTTTTGTGTGGTGGGTGGTGTGCTAGTTTTGAGGCGCCTCAAAACTAATTTGTCTCGTGTTTCACTGTGCGCCATGTGTTTTGTGCGGTGGTGTGCTGTCTGACGTGTGTTTTGTGCCATGTGTGCCGTGTGCAACGTACCATGGAGTGCAGACGTTCCGACTGACACTGAGGTGCATGAAGCATTGGGCCAAGAAGCGAGGCGTATATTCCAACGTGAGTCGCTCCTGCTGTGTGCGTTTCCCTCGCCCCTCGTTCCTCCCCGCCCCTCGTTCCTCCCCGCCCCTTGTTCCTCCCCGCCCCTCGTTCCTCCCCGCCCCTCGTTCCTCCCCGCCCCTCGTTCCTCCCCGCCCCGCATTCCTCCCCGCCCTCCATCCCTTGTTGCTCCTACTGATGCACCTGTTCCCCAGTTATCCCACTCCCAATCTGCCAATAGTGCTCTAATTCTTCCAGTCCGCACCCCCCCCACCCCGCCACTCTCCCGTCGGCACCTGCAGCACACCCTGTTTGTAGGCTTGCACGTGTAGCCGTGCTGGCTCGCAGGTCCCACTGTGGAATCATAGCCACAGCGCACGGGGCCAACCCAAGCCTCTCGCCTTGTCCTCTGCCTCTCTCTTCAATGCTCCTTGCCCCCCAACTGGGCGGGGTGAACTGGGCGATCCTAGCAAGGCGCGGGCCAGCTCTACCTCAACCTGCACCCTCTCTCCCCCCTTTCCCCCTCGCCCTCACTCCTCCCCCTCACCCCCCAAAACAGGTCGCGGGGTGCCTAGGCGGAGTGAACTGGTCGATCCTGGCGGGGCGCGTGTGCCAGCTGTACCCCAACGCGGCGTCCTCCATGCCAGTCACTCTCTTCCTCCGCTTCTACACGCTCTGGCAGTGGCCTTCTTGACACCCGCCCTCTCCTCTTCTCCTTCCCCTCCCCTCTCCCCTCCTACCCTCCTTTCCCTCCTTCGTCCTCTCCTCTACCCCTCTCCCCCTTCCCCTCCCCCATTCCCCCATTTCCCCCTCCCGCCCTCCCCCCTCCAACCCCTGCCAAAATAGGCCGCGGGGTTCCTGGGCGGGGTGAACTGGGCAATCCTAGCGGGCCGCGTGTGCCAGCTGTACCCCAACGCGGCGCCGTCCTCTCCACTCCCCTGCCCCTGCCCCTGCCCCCCTTCTCCCCGTTCCCCCTCGTGCAGGTCGCGGGGTTCC